CTCAAGTGAGTGGGACTCAGTCCCTAGTCCCCTCTTCCTTGTACCTCTGGAGGAAAAGTCCATAAGCCATTTGGTTCTTCCTCACAGGGACGCAGGCAGGGGAGGCATAGTTTATAACGAGCCTTGGATTGTCCAGTCTCTGGTCTCAGAAGACAGATGCAAACGGAAAGGAACAAGAGCTCCCAGTGAAGAATTCAGACGGTAAGGAAAGGCCACCACCGCTCCTACCTGGGCTCCAAGATGCCTTACAGACTCAACTTTAGGAAGCTTGGGCACAGAAGGCTGGGGATCGCTGGAAACTCCCTGGACCAGCAAGACTAGGTGGGTTCTTGAAAAGCAACGGCCTTAGAAACCAGTGTCCTGAGAAAACACTAAAACTCAGAGCTCAGTCCTGGACCCCAGGACTGGTATTCTTCTCTAGGATGACTCAGCTGAAGAGGCCCTGGGACGAGGTCCTGGGCACTACAGGCGCTAACACAGAGCAAGGACAGAGATTTGTGCTAGGGAGAAGAATGGAGTGTGCCTGTGCTGGCCTGGCAACACATGGGTACAATTAGCTTTGCTCATAGCCCAGCTGGGGGTCCTGGAAACACAGCAGTGATGGCTGGGGCAGAATGGCAGCCAAGAAGGCTGGCCTGCCGCCCTTGGCTTTGGAAGAGCCAAGAGTATTGCAGGGTCCTCAGGAGTGGGTCTGCGCCTCCGATGTCCTCTGTCCAGATGTTGCTGCAGGAACCAAGAAGCACTGTTGGGTAGGAGCAGTCTACAGACCTCAGTGCTCTGTGACCCAACAGAGCATGGGGCTGGCTTCCCCAACCATGCATGCAAAAGTCCAAGCATCAAGGGGGAAAAAAACTGAAAACCAACAGGCTCACAGTAGGACCCCCTAGTAAGAAGTGGATCCTCTTCAAACCAAGCACTATTCTCAGCTCTTTATTTATGGTCTAGCTTTAGTCACAATGATGCAAATCTGTTATAATTCAGTGCATGGGAAGCAAGACAATGCTGTATAAAGTTGACAAGTGTCTTTGATTTTTGAGTATCCTAGGGTCACAGAATCATTTGGACACATGTAGTATGGTCCACAAATGCTTAACGGCTCTCAGTGAAAGTCATAACCATTGACAGCAGCTAGCCCACACGGGGGCCACTTCCTGTGGGATATACCCTGGCTTGTTGGTTGCCATAGAAACAGCCCAGCACTCCAGACCCTAGGGCCCCAATAGTTGTCAATTGTTCCCCAGTTACCTGTGGTAACTGAGCTGTACCCTTTCCCTCTCTCCAACCTAGGATCTACTTTGCTTCCATTCTGGAAGCGGGAAAGACGGCATTACTGGGACAAATCACCATCACTGCGTTCTACCCTTTTCCACTAAAAAATGAGGGTTCATAGGAATAACGCCCCAGAGAGCGCCGCTGCAGAAGCAGAGCCACCGGAGGATCTGGCCCCCCTGCTGGACTTGTCCACCAGCTCTGAAAACTCGATATCCTTGAACTGGGGCATAAAACGTCAAAGCCGGAAATATTCTGATCAATAGCTCTGGTATTTTCAATGGGGAATCATCCAACTGAGACAATTTGGATTTCTTATTGGATAATTCTGTTTAAGGTACTGATGAGGACTATACCTGAGAGGCAGAGGACAGGAATGCTGGACATGTGATAATAACATGGTCCACAAGTGATTTGTCCCATTTTAATGACCTTCTGGAATTCACATTATGAATAGGAAGAAGCCTACTCATAAGATCCTAGGACCTAAGCTCATTTAATTTAAATACAATGTCTCTAAGTATGGTTTTGCTCGATTTTAATATATAATGGATGTTACAAGGGCATGCAAACCAAACCTGTGGGCTTTGTTTTGCACTTTCCTGGAAACTGTACCAGGAGCTGGGGTTCTATGAGCAGCCCTAACCCCAGATTTTAAGGCCTATCTGCATCCATACATGCTTGTTTCTGTCACATGTACATCAAGTGTATTACTGACTTTTATATAGCTGTGACCAAAATACCTGGAAGACACCTGAAAGGGGGGAGGAGTTCCTTGCCCATGGCTGCAGAGGGTTCAGTCCATGGTTGCTTGGCCTTAGTACTCAGGCAGAACACCATGGAAGGGCAGCAGGTGGAGGAGGCCGCTCTTTAGTTCTTGGTGAACAAAAGCAGAAAACAAACCAGGACAGGGCCAGTGACAAGAAAACCCCAAGAACCTGACCCCTGTGACCTACCTCCTCCAGCTATATGCCACCTCCTTAAGCTCCCAGGACCTCTCAAAATAGTCCCTTCAGCTTGGGACCCAGCCTCAAACACATGAGCCTTTGGTAGGGACATTTTATGCCCAAACCATAACACTATGCCTTCAGACACATCCTGTGGAGTCTTTAGGAATCACCTAGAAAAGATTATTGTCCTCTCTGAAACTCAGACATATCAAAAGATGTACCCAGGACCAGAGAAGACAGGCAGATCTGTGTGGGAAGAACCTCATGGACAATCTCCACGGAAAGTTCCTTCATAAAGATCATCCTCAGATGTCTGCGCATTTTCTAGAATAGAAAACTAGGGCATTTGAGATATAGCTAGAGTCTGAGCCTCACCTCTCCCGCTGGCTAGTGTAGGGATATCATCATGCTGTTCGTCTCACGGGAACCGTGCAGGCTACACAGGACATGGAGGAGTAGAGCCGTATACCTGGTCTATATCAGGTGCTCAGACAATGCTCTTGACAGCTGAGGAGGGCTTTTGATGCTGAGCACAGGTGGTCACCCTAAAGCTCACCCTGGCAGGGGACAATGATGAGTCAGTCATAATCCCCATTCCTTGAGGTCTTTCTGTGAGGCCTGGAGGAAGACGCCAGGTGCCCCTGTGTGTCCAGTCTGCCATTCTTGGCCTTTCTTTGACTCCTGGGTCCTGCCTGAAGTCCCACGGGGTCTGCAGCTCAAGTCTGCCCAGGCCCTGGTGGAGCTGCCCCGAGCACACACCCAGTCTAGAAACTGCCAGGGCCTTTTAAGCTCCAACAGCTGGGAGCAGAGCAGCTGGGAAACAAATCTATTTGTTCATCAATTGTGGAGCATCTGTTGTGAGCCAAATTCCAAGGAGGATGGGTCACATGCATGGTTCCTGCCTCACACAGAGTTCTCTGGAAGGGAGGCAGAGGGCCAACACCCACGGGCAAACATTTGCCACAAGCTCAGAGGAGCAGCTGAGGACTGAGAACGAGGGAAATGCTGGGATAGCTGGATGGAGCGGCAGATGCCATGGACCAAGGTACCCAAGGGCAGAGCAATGAAACCCAAGTCAGGTGGGAAACACTCAGGCTCCAGTGTAGGGAGAGCTGGCCTGTACCCCTGGCTCCATTTCAAGGGCTGCATGCTGTTCTCTGCTCCCCGCCAACCCCATCCAGACCCTGGAAACTACCGATGAACCTTTGTCTTCTACGCTTGCTGGTTTTGGTTTAATTTCAAGGGGAAGAAGCATCCAGGGACTCCCGTGCTGGAGAAGGGAGGCTGTGGATGCAGGATCCTTGAGTCCTCTTGTTGCTCCATCCGGGCAGTGGCCGAACTGCTCTTCTACACCCCCTCTCCCACAACAGCAATTCTTTTTATTTTGTTTTATGCGCCTGGATGTTTTGCCTGCACGTATGTCTGTGCACCATGTTCGTACCTGGTGCTGGAGGAGACCCTAAGAGAATGTCAGATTCCCTGGGACTGGAGTTACCCATGTGAACCATCATGTCGGCGGTGAGAATTGAACCCAGGTTTTCTGCAAGACAGTGCTCTTAGCCCCTGTACCCCATGACAACAGCAGCTCTTCCAGTTCCAGAACCTCTCCTCCTCACCCCTGAGCAACAGTCTCCTGTGGTATCCGTCCCTGGACGCCCATCCTCCCTTCCTGGTTTTCCCAGTCTTGTCCTTGTCATAGCTGTCCTTCAGTTTCCCAGTTTAAAGGTCCCTGTGAGCACGGACAGAAGCCAACTCCTCCCAGATCCATAAGCTAGGGTTAATAGTGACAGTGATGTATGATTTACTCACATGTCACCAGAAATGTGCTCATGGTCCCAGTGTCTCTTCCTTCCCAGCTCTCAGACAGGTGCATTTCTGTCCCTCAGGTCTCCATGAGGGAGGAGAGGGACAGGGGCTGGGTCCTTGGTTGCTAAGTGAGGAGGTTTCGTTGACACTGGGCTCAGTCTGTCTTGATCACCTCTGAAAGCAACTGTGTCCCCAACTGGTTTTGGAAATTCTGGGGGGATGGTGTGCATGAGGAGCACTCGGGGGCTTTAAAGAAAGAAAAGCTCAAGAAGGCAGCCAACACCGTGGAAGAAGAAGGTCCGCCGAGCCATCCTCGGAGAACAGAACAGAGGCAGGCAGCCGGGCAGATTCTCAGAACCACTGGACTTGGGAAATTGAGCTTAGAAAGAGAGATGGACTCTGGTTAGGATCGGCAGCATTTCTAAGGAGAGAGGAGTCATGGAATGCAATGCCTGAGAAAGAAGGCAGGAGAGAAAGGACTGAGGACAGACTCCAGGGATCAGGGACGCTGAGGAGGAAAGAGACAGGAAAAGAGCAGAAGGAGACTCTCCGGTCCCACCTGCCTGACAAGAAGACATCTGAAAGTCCCTTGGTTCAGGAATTTGGCCCCAAAATTCACTCTTGAGAAGTTGAGCCAGAGTGCAGTGCCACACGGCTCCATCCCCCCCCCCCCCCCCCCCCCCCCCCCCCCCCGCCCCCGCCTCCTCCGGATGAATAACATGATAGGAGTTAAGGAACCCAAAGCCCCAGGAAGAGATGAGAGGAAGCAGAATTTAGCTGGTGTGACGGTGGTCAGTGTATTTCAGCAACACCTGTGAGAGGCAGGTCTTCTCACTCACTTTGCTTTCTGATTCCAGGCAGACAATTACTGACCCAGGATGCCTTCCCACCAAGGTGATACTTTGCCCGCCATCTTCCGCCTGTGTGTGGGTGGGTGGCTACCCATTCCAGACATGACCTTATCTGATTTCTTACCTCTAGATTTCCTCTTGTGAAACACCGACTGCCAGGCGATGACCAGGGTGAAGAGGAGAACGCTGAGGATCCCCACGCAGCACACAAGGACAGCATACACATAGAGATCTGAAGGGCACATTATCATAAACATTAACTCAAAACAAACCACAAAAAATGAATTTCAAATATAAATTATAAAGATTTTTGGGGGGGGGGGGGGGAAATGCACAAGAGGAAAACCTTCAGGTCTAAATCTAAGAGGCAGAGTTCCAATCTTGTCATCAGAGGCATTCTCCCTATGAGTAAACCTTGATGGCTAGGGACACAGATCAGAGACAGAGCACCCAATCAGCATACATGTTCAATCATTAGAAAAGGTAAATCTGATTCATCATAATTGAAAACTGGAGATGCAGGTGGTCAATGACCCAGAAGGGAGAGACAACGAACTTACGCATCCAAGTTCTTTTGAGTCTCTTGTTTGACCAGAGCCCTAGGGAGGCCTGGCAGAAGCCATGCCTCGAGTTGGAAAGTCCTTTCATGTTCTTAGAGCTAGTCAACATTTTTGTCTAAGCTAGACTGAGTAGATTTCTATTCCGGGCTACTTAGAAGTTTGAACTAAAAATTAAGCATAGTTGTTTCTCTGTGTCTCCAACTTCCCCATCTACAAATTCAATCAATCATGGATCAAAACTATTCAAAAACAGTAACAGCAACCTTGGGGCCTAGAGAGATGGTTCAGTGATTAACAGTATTTGTTATTCTTGCAGATTATACAGGTTTGGTTCCCAGCACCCACATCATGGTTAACAACTGTCTGTAACTCTAGTGCTAGAGGAACCAACACTCTCCACTGAAGGCCCTGCACACATGTGGTGCATAGATGTACATGCAGGGACACATCTATATACACAAAATAAACATAAATAAATGAGGAGGTTTGGATGAGAATGTACCCCAGAGGCTCATATATTTGAATAATTGGTCTGCTCCACAACTGATGGAACTGTTTGGGGAGGATTAGGAGGTATGGCTTTGTTAGAGAAGGTATGTCACTGGGGGTGGACTTTGAGGTCTCAGAAGCCCACACCATTCCCCGTTAGCTCTCTGTACATTTGTGGATCAAGATGTAAGCTCTCAGCTACTGCTCCAGTGCCATGCCTGCCTGCCTGTTGCCGTGTTCCCCACCATTATAGTAATGGACTATAACCCTCTGGAACCATAAACCCCCAAATTAAATGCTTTCTTTTATAAGTTGCCTTGGTCATTGTTTTTTGTCATAGCAATAGAAAAGTAACAAAGACAAGAAATCTTTAAAAAAAAAAACTTATTGCACTGAACAGTAGACACTTTTTCTTGTCATACTTGGCTAAATACCACGTTATTAAAACTATTTATATAGTACAGGTGTTGTACTAAGTATCATATGTCATCCAGAGATGAAGACACACATGGTTATATTCAAATACTACAAGACTTCCTTAAGGTACTCGTATAGCCATGCATTTTTGGTATCTTTGGGTTGGAGAAATCATGGGACAAAATCCCTATGGATAGGGAGGGGAAGGTATAAGTAGGAAGTGCCGCAGGACAAGGAGAAACACTTGTTTTGTTTTAATGAGATGGGAGTCTCTCTTTATAGCCTCACCTATCCTGGGACTCGTATGTAGACCTGACCACTTTTATTAACTGTTAAGAGAATCGGCAGATGGGTTGACAGAAGGAAAGGTCTCCCATGAGGATCCTGGAGCTATAATGGAGGCTGAGGGGAGCTGGAAGGAGAGTTCTGAATGCAAGAATAAAGCACTGTGGAAGAGTTCCTTGGTGCACCAAATGCTTGACATAAGCAATCGTGGGGTCTTCCCACGCAAAGGCTGCTGGGAAAGCCCTGGTGGAAGCCAGGCTACACAGGGTGGAATGCCACGAGGTGTGAGGAGGTCCAGTTGGAAACAGAGTGGCTTTTTCCTGGTAGCAAAGTCCAACTGCTTCTGTCCAGGGGCACGTGTGTCCTCCTGTGTGGCTTTATAGAATGACAGGCTGGAATGGTTAGGGAGGGCAGGCTTGTCCTGCTGCTTCAACAACATGAAATTCAACAATGGGATGCACGGATTCTGAGAGGGACGAGTCATGATGGACCGAGGTCAGAGACCTGAGCTGAGGACAAGATACCAGGATACAGGACAGTCCAAATCCTGTGACTCCACAGCCAGTCCTGGTTTATTCATTGTTGAGCAGATTACTCCAGGAACTTGGCTGGCTGGTAGGGGAGAAAAAGTGGTAAATAACCCAATTGCCTTGCTGGGCCAGACGGAACTGGGGCAGATGGAGACAAAGCTGCCTCTGAGGGAGTCAGATGTCAGCCCTGATAAAAAGGCACGGTAATTTGGCTTCTGTTTCCTTCTTGGAGGCGAGGGTAAAAACTGACTTACTAAAGTTTCTGTGCCCCAAGATAAAGGTGTCCTCGCCCCCCAGTCTATGCATTTATGTGCTCTCTATGTTTCCAGGCTAAAGGGACCAAGGAGGACCAAGGCTGCAGGTGAGCTCTGAGATTGTCATTCTTACCAGAAGTCCCTCAAACACACCACACACATCCGGGGCCTGCTCTCTCCTGGTGGGAGGCAAAGAACTCAAGGTCTAGTTGTGGTTTCTGATCTCAGCCTAGCAGTGGCACAGAGGGAGCTGGCTCTCCCCAGGCAGCTGTGGCTGCAGAATCACAGAACATCTGGCCTGTGTGCAATGCTCCGATGCTCCACCAAGCACAGAGGCCCTGGGGGCAATGGACCCCCACCAGTAGGCACCATCCACCCACACGTGGGTCTTCATGCATGGGCGACAGTGGATGCTCTCTGCTCTGCTCTTGGAGCTATGAGATCCTTAAAACATGTCACTTCACAGGAAGAGAAAAGCTGCGCGTCCACTTTCCCTAGATCAGGCAGCGATCAATACTGAGAAGTTCTGACTTTGTCTCCGTGCCAAGCACTTCCTTTACTACATAAAAGGAAGGCGAACCTGTTCAAAACTGACTCTGCACTGACCCCAGGTTTCTCTGTAAACAAAGGCTAACCCAAAGCCAGGGCCACAAGATCAGAAGACTCCAGGGTCATCTTTTCACAGCGACAGCTCAGGCAAGTTGCCCTGTGTTCTAGAGGCTGGCATTCTGGCCGATGTCCCTCTTTCCTCACACGTGTCCTTTAGTTAGTGTGGGGGAAAAAAAGAATCTATTTCTAAAAAGATAGCTCAGAAAGTTTCAAAATCAAGCCTAGACGAATAATGTTAAGACTTTAGACCCGAACTTAACACAGGCAGCTTTTAAATACCCCAAGGCAGGGAGGCTGGGCTGTGCAGTTGTGTCGTAGAGAACTCATAGCATGCACGAGGCCCTAGGTACCAAATGAATCAATAAATGAATGAATGACCCCATAATACTGGGCATTTGGCTCTGTGGTAAAGTATATGCACAGACTGTGCAACACACTGAATTTCATTCTGTCCAAATATGTAATAAAATAAACAAACGAAAAATAAATGAATACATAAATAACAAAATAAAAGATTCCCATGCCTACACACTCAACAGCAATAACAAATATCACGTTTTAGTCCCCGAATCTGTTTGCAATTCTGTTTTTTGCCACTGGACTGCTAAAGACACCACTGCCATTTTTAGACAAGCTGCAAAAAATCCAGGTCTCCTCGGAGCAGATGGCGGGGCCAGCAGGCTGCTATGGCTGTGCACAGCACGGGGAGGCCACCACAGGGTGACAGCACTTGTGTGCCAGCTCCTGCCCATCCTCCCAGACTGCCAACCAACCCAGGCAGGACAAAGGCACCTGTTGCCTGGCAACACAGCAGAGTATTCAGTGCTGCTTTGAAACTGGGTGACCCCAGCATTCCTTAGCACAACCAAACACCCCCCTTCACCCCCTCCACACACACACACAAGCACACACACACACACACACACACATACACACACAAAACAACAGTCAAGAAAGCCAGGGTCAGTATTCTACATTTCCAGTTCAAAGGCGAGAGCTTGGGGAATAGCTGTTCCGGCAATAAAACTCTGTGTACTTCCACTAGTTTTTAATGTAGCCTGTAATACCATCTTGCTCAGGGCAAAAATACCTGAGTGATAGCCCTGAGGGATTTTAACTCACTCCAATATCTCATCAAGAGCCCTGACAATCAATGCTTGTTTTGTTGGGCAGGCACACAGCCAGGCCCAGCTAAGCCCCAGGAGGATGGGTATCTGTCCACAACCCACACTGAAGCTCTTCCAATCAGGAACAAAAGGGCAAAAAGGCCTGAGATCCTGTGCCAGAGAGTTTCAACTACACCCTTGACCTTGCCAAAGCTGTGGCGGGTTAAAAAAGCAGAGCACAGGGGCATTGATTGCTACTGCTGCTACCACCAGTGCCGTGACCAGCAGCGGCAGCAGCACAGGGAAAGAAGGCATGCAATCTGCAGCCCTGGGCATGCATGATGCATGATGAGAACGCCAACGCCCAGTCTTTGATAGGATTTGATTGTCTCCATTGAGAAGAAAGTCCATGCTGGGCCACATATTGCACTTATAGTTAAGGTCGGAGTTAGCTTATTAGTCTACATCTGTGGAATTATAAAACATTGCCAATAATACAAAGTGTCTTAGAGATCCAAATCATCCTGCAAAGTGTGCCAAAACTGACTTCTACAGTCCTTCCAAATGGTCTTTTTTTTTTTTTTAATTGTACTATTGCAGTTTTAAAATACAGTCCTTAGGCCATTCCCATCAAAACCACCTCACACTCCTGTGAACATGAGATTCCTACTGTGGTTATCAGGACTGCAGAGGTGGAGCCAGGGCTCCCTCTGGCACATTCTTCAGTGACCTTCCTTACAGACACCCACAGCCATCTCCATTATTCCACCCCATCAGAACACCAGGGCTTAAGACAGCTTCAGAGTCATGCGGCAAAGCTCAGCCAGACTGCCTCGATGTCACTCAATTGCAAGGAGAAGGGGAACCTTCCTCCTCTTTCCCACAGCTTCCCTCTCTGGGAAAGACGCCACTTTCATCTCTGGCCAAGAGGAAGCAGAGTGAGAGGCAGGGGGAGGGAACTGCGGACTGCTTTGCTAGGAGAAAGTCATCAGATACAGAAAAGGGCAATTAGGAAGCGTGGAAGAAAATTCCAGAAATATAAAGATTCATTATTGGATAAAATGTGATCTGAGGAAAACAAAACAAAACAAAAAACTACTTACAACTCTAAAACTAAACAAGACATCCTGGCAAACTAGGGTTACATCCAAGTGTGTGGTTTGCCAACCACAATTAGAGTCGAATTTTTCAAAGATATGGTATCTAACACGCTACTAGAAAAGGTAGTTTCGAATTGCTGTGGTGTCCCCATAAGGCTGGCTCCTTCTGCTACCTACTGTCTGGCTTGTCTCACAGGGGTTGGGGGGGCACACCTCCTCTTAGCCCCTTTGACCAGCTCATTCCTCATCAATCAACCCAAAGACTTCACAAGACAAAATCCTTCCAAGGTCCTGTCCCCGGTTGACATTAAGCCCCGTCCTTGATCAAAGGCTCTAACTGAGAACTTAGAGCACATGATGTCATTGCTTATGGTCATAATCCTCAGTTATTTTGTGATGACCATTTCTCCGCTGTCCTTTCTCTGGGGAAGAGACCTGTAGCCTCCCAAGTCTTGGCATTTGGGGGCAGACTTGGGGACTGTCTCATACATCCCCTCTATCCACAAGATGCTAGTGGCATCCCCATACTTGAAGCAACCAAAACTGTCTCCTGACACCAGTAAATGGCCCCTGCAGGGGCAAAAGCACTATCAAGAACGCCACTCATACTTGAATGGATGCCAGAGGTTTACATTATATGAAGTGTCTTTGACATTCAAATCATGCTGCAAAGTGTGTCAAAACTGAATGCTACAGTCATTTCAAAAACATAAGGCACCACCTCACAGTTCAGCATGCATTCACCACCAGCTCCCAGGGGCTGCTTCCTCAACTGTCTCTCAGGCCATGGCTCCTAGCCTGCTGCATGATGGAATCAAAAGGAAGGAATTAATAGGTTTCAACTAAGTCTGAATCTCCTGCAAGCATCCTGGTTTTTTTTTTTAAAGCTCCTTGAGTGGCTCCAGCATGGGATGAAAACCACTACTTGCAGCTTTCAAACTCTTCTAGAACACCAGTCTTTCCAAGCAACTAAGAATTAAAGGTCGTTTCAGTAGGCATATTCTTTAATGTGCCATCACATGGAAGTCCCTCCTTAGCATCACCTAGGAGAGAGATTGGGGTTGTGGGGTGGGGCAAGGAAACAAATAGAATTGGGCAGAATAAGCCTTTCACACCACTTTCCCCAATAGGGATTCCCATCTCACTCCTGCAAAGACCAGTCCGGGAACATAACTTGATGCTAGGAAAAAGTTAAGAAACTAGACCCCCCCTCTTTTGTTCCTCTTCTCTTCTTACTGTCTAGAAATGAGGCTGCATCAAGACACCAGACTTACCTTCAAATAATGCCCAGGTCACTTTCTTTTTCTCAAATGATGAATCCTCAGCAGCCTTGAGGGAGATCACTGTAAACACAAAGAGACAGGACAACATGATACACAGCAGCTTACAGCCCTGACCCACACTGGGTCCTCAAATGGTGTCATGTGGTACCAAAGTCTCTTAAATTTAAAATTTCCGTATTAACACAACTGCCTTAAATCATCACAACCCAGACACCCAGGAGAAACACAACAGCTGAGAAACCTGGGCCCCAGGACATGCAAAGAAATCTGTCTGGGTTTGAAAGCCAGGAAATGGCAAAGCCAAAGTATAAATAAATATAAATGTAAAGAGTTTCTTTATGGGGGTCAAAACTAAATCATCAGTTTCTTCATGATTTTTCCATCTTCCATGGTGCAGGGCTGCATATTTATTTCTAGACAGAAGTACCCGGAGTCATGCAATGGCGGGGATCGGGCCCTGAGCACCACTCTGTATGCAAGACACTGAAAGACAACAGGCTCCTAGTCTTGAGAATATTTTGTCTTCTTCTGCTTGGTGGTTGATCACTGGATTTACTCTGCTTCCAGCAGAGAAAGTGGAGTTATAATAATAAAACTTTGAACATCACACTAGGGAATTAAACAGACGACAACAACAACAAAACAAAAACCCATATACAGCGTCAGGGATTGATCTGATTGTTCAACAGGACTTTCTGTGTGGACAGAAATGCTCCATGTGAGTGTTGTCAGCAGCTGTGTGTGGCTATCCAGCACTTAAACATGGGTAGTCTGACCAAGACATTGCATCTATAATTGGATCAAATCTCAGTAATTTAGACTTAAGTTGCCACATGTGAAGCGCTCTAGACAAGAGAACGGAGCACTTGAATTTCTACAGGCAGGTGGAACACAGACGGAATTATAATGAGAGGCAAGCAATAAGGCAGACATGGCCTGTGCGTTCATTTCATTTCATTGGACCTCCTCTATGTTTCTGAATTATCGTCGTCACGATAAGATTTCAGTTCTTTTTTTCTACCCTTTTGTCTTTTTTGGGCCTTTATTGGATATTTGATTTTGAGGTGTCTTCTAGACAGCTAATCTTCCCTTCACGTGTGTCTCACCGGCCACAGAGCCTCTTTATTCAGTCTTTGTTTTCATGGGTGGGGTCTTTCAGTTCCGAATTATCTGTCTAATTCTTCCTCACACACCCCAGTTCACCAATGACTCCTCCAGTTCCCCACCTCATCTCCTAGCCAAGTTAATGACAAATTTCAACAGTTGTACCTGACAACTTCCATAGCATTATCACCCACAGACTTGTTCTCCCAGCCGGTTTTGATTTTGACATGGTCTCAGTGTGCCTGAGAATTTTTCCAAATTGAATGTCAGACATTGATAGAAAGATCACAAAGTCTCCAGAAAACCTTCAGTTCCCTGAGAGCAAGGTGAAGATTGACGATCACCTTAACCCACTCAGGTTTGAATAGCTTAGGGGCTGTCAATTTTAGAGTCTGGTCTGTTTCTTGGTTTGGGTTGAGTCCCTCCGGGTTCCGTAGCAGGAAGCCTGGATTGTTTGTCACGATCCTCACATACCATGTTCAGGAACACCCAAAGCTCATTTGCCTGCAGAACATCCTGGCCGTCACTTTCTCTGCAGCCCCTGTTGAGCAGTTCCAGATGAACTTCAGGAAGACTTGTGTGTGTGATGACTAGACCCCTTCCCTGTAATGTCCTAGCATGTCTAAAACAAAGGGGGCAGCTGAGGTTCAGCTGTCATAGTAACTGTGCATCTGGAGAAGCGACTCTGTGGTTTAGAGCACTGGCTGCTCGTCCAGAGGAACCAGGCTCAATTTCCAGCACCCATGTGTCTCACAACCTCCTGTAACTCCAGTTTCAGGGGATCTAATGCCCTCTTCTGGCCTCTGTGGGCATCAGGCCTGTACATGGTACACAGAAAGAGCCTACAAGGAAAATACTCACATACATAAAGTTCAACATTAAAAATAAATAATTAAATGTGTAATTGGGGAACACACAGAGATGCTGTTCAGAAAGCAGAAATTCAGAGAGATTTCTCTCCCCTCCTAAAGGAAACTCCTGTCCCAGAAGAACCAAAATTCTTTAAAATCAGTAGTTATATCACCCTCACTTGGGGTTTTTCTGGAGGTTGGAAAGCAGTGTGTTTGTGTGTGTGTAAAATATACTATCCAAACTCTACTTCCCTGTCCTGCTCAATTTATTTTAATCCAGAACTCCTGTACTCTACTGACTGACAGAGCAACCACATTTCAGAATTTAAAATAATAAGCATGTGTTTATTGTGAACTGTCGTGGGTCTGAAGGGGCTAGGGCATCTTAAGTGAGGCCGTCAAGTTGGAAATGTGGGGAGCATTTGGAGTGGAGGAAAGAAGCAGCAGAGAGGAAGGTACGGGGGAGGCTTGAGTTGATGGGGCTCCAGGTCCAAAGAAGCCTGATGCGCTGTCTATTCTGCATGTCATCCATGCACTTTGTACCCTTAGCCATCCATCCATTTCCTGAACCACCCTGAAGGGGTTTCACAACCTCAATCCTCAGTCTCCTAAGCTTGGGAAAGGATAATACCACAAAGTCCCGATGAAGACAGCACAGAGCAGGTGTAAACACCCTCTGAGGAGCTTAGCTCCAGGAAAGACAGAAAGGCAAGAGAAGGGAGGGAGCATGTTTTCTTATTTTATATGTGAGACTAAGAGGGAATATCATCTGCCCCACATCTCCAGGGTCAGGAAACAAGAGCTTAGACAAGAACCAGCTCTCAATTCCCACTCCAGACTCTGCATCCTGCATAGACCTGTGTGCCTCCTGTCCCTTCCTCACTCAGAAACATGTAAGGCTCCCCTCCTTTCCTAATGAAACATGATAGCATCCTCGGCCTCCATTCAAGACCCCAAATATATCTATTCCGCCTTATTCTGACCATCCAGGCCTCCCTGTCTGGGTCTTGTTTATCCTGTTTGGTGTGCCTTCTTTCATCCTTACAAGCACAACCCTGGTGTCTGGGTGATCTTTAGAACAAATCTCTCTTCTCCCCAGCCATAAATCCTCTTCCCGCTCTGAATTTTCACAGCACCCCACCCCTCTGATGCCGATTATTTTGTTAAATTCCACTGATAATTTTCAGGCCATATGGTCCAGGAGTCAGCAGCAGCAGCAGCAGCACCTAGGAATTTGTCACAAGTGCAGAACCACAGTCCCCATCCCAGACCTATGGCCTCAGAGTCAACTGAGAGCCTAGTGAGTCAGATGCAAAATGTGAAGTAGAAGCTGAGGAAGACAGTAGAATCAATGAAGTGCCTGTCCTGCGAGCATGGGGACTGAGTATGGATTTCCAGACCCTGCATAAGAGCTGGAAGAACTTAGTACTATTACTCTGCTAACAGAAATAGCAACAAACTGCCCCTGACCAAATTCTCATCTTTAGATCAGAGACTTGTGCATCTCTTATCCCTCTTCAGAAAAGCTTCCTGTACATGATGATTTGTAGAGATCAGCACTGGTCAATATTCAGAGAATAAGAGACCAAATAGTGCTCATGTCCCTTCCCCAAAGGCTCGGGGATTGTTGTAGAAGAGGAATTAGATGTCTACAGCAAAACAGAGTTTTCCAGACAGGACAGGGCCATTGCACATAATGATTCACAGTGGCTGTGAGTGCATGCATGAGAACTATAGAGGATCCAGCCAGCCAAAATCCCAGGGTGGGGGCAGGTTTTACGAAGTCCCACCCCTATCTGAGGGGCTACTGGCAATTGATAGTTGCTGTGGGAGGGAGAGTCAGTTTTCTTCAGGGATGTGGCCCCTGAGAGGCTACCCATGCTCCAGTAGAGGGCCCCACACCCATGGACGTCTGAGTAGCACTAAAGACTCAGTGGGTTTGAAAAGAGGACCACATGAAGTTGGGATGGGAAAGTAGCAGTAGGGACATACAGCTGAAATTGGAGGGGAAGAAATGAGGAGGTTGGTTTGAGCTAAACATTATAGGCATTATGAACTTTAAAAAAATAAATAAATGACTGAGGAAAATATCTGGACATAGCAAGGCATGCTTATAACCCCAGTGCTGGGGTAAGATGGATGCTTGGGGATCTCTGAAGCTCCTTGGCCAGGCAGGCTAGCTGAATCCATGACCTTCAGGTACAGTGGCAGACTGTTTCAAAAACTGAAGGAGGAAAGCGATTGAGAAAAGACGTCCAACACTGACCTGTCCTCCACATGCGTGCATATATGAGTGCACTCCACATGAGTGCACACACTCACTTACAGTAACAAGTGCAAGATTCCACAACTCTTGCACACAATTTTTAAAAAGGAAATAAAGGGTGCAGTGAGCCCATGCCCACTAGCCTGAAATGCTCAACTGCTACTTGCAGGGAGTGGGGACCCAGTTAACTCATTGAAGAGCCTGATGCCTTGGTTTTTAACAGGGGTGATAAATACTTGGGACAGCACAGGTGAGGGTTACATGGGTCAGAATGTATGCAGTGCTTCCGATTGTCTGAGACATCATTGAATATCTCCATCCACCGGCAGCCCACCCCTTAAGAGCATAATGTTGCTTTTATTGACTACTACGATTCCCATGCCTAGAAGGGTTTTCTGCCTCAAGACTCCTTTACATGGAGTGAATGGCAAGTTGTCACCATGGCCAACATGAAAGGGTTCTCTTCTGCGGTGACTAACCTTCTAGCTGGAATAGGTTTCCATTCCCCTTAGCCAAGGCAGGGGCCCAGAGATCACCTCCATACGTCCTCCAGGGGAAGAAGCCATGGTTTTGGTTAAATACGAGTGCAGGTCCTTCTGCCTCCTGCATGATGGCAGGTAACCAGTCCCACTTAGTACCACATGGAGACACGTCCTGAGAGATCTCATCACTGGAGCTTTCCAGACTGTGGGGACACTCACCCGCCTCCCCAGTCTAGGCAATTTGATGGGAAAGCGCAGTCATTTTGCTTGGTGCCCGAAGACTTATCTGCTTCTACAAAGAAACAAAAATTGCACGGGAACCCTGCCAGGGCTTCAGGAATTTCCCCCAAAGTTCTG